TTTCGCATGAACTCAACTCAAGGATGCATGAATATGAATACACTGATATGCACACAGAATGGCACAAAATTTCACTCTAAGAGCATGTATTCGTTTTAGCAATCAAAGAAAGAACATAAAATGCTTAAGAAAAAAATTATATGGACGACATACTGACCAATATCGAGCTCAGAGGCAAAGGCGTCGCCAGGGTTGTCCTCATGAGGATCTCTAGTTGACACAAGATAAATCCACATCAAACATGGAACAAGAAAATGATATCACGGTTGTTGGAGATGCATGAAATTAAATGATCAAGTTCATTTCATGAACATCCATCCATTAGCAGGTCAACCTTACTCAACAGTGAAAACAAAATAAAAACTAAAAATACAAAAACTACCCTAGGTCTAAAATTACACCAAGATGCAACTCAACAGGCCTACAAAAGAATTCATGCATTTAGTGTGACAATTGACAAGCTGGAGACTCAACAATACGTGCCACAGGTATTTAGGCCTGTCCAGTTTGCTAAAATATGCTTTTCAATTGGATGCAGATATGCCTTACAGTCATACCTCCGTCACAGATAATCAAAAGTGCAAGGGAATTTAGATAAAAAAGAAAACAAACTTACTGACCGTAAAAACATGCATTCCGAAAGCTAGATATTGTGCTAACCGCCCAACTTTTCAAATTATTTTCCAATTCATCCGTTAGCTTTGCCAAATGGAAACTGAAGCACATTTTCAACAAAAAGGCTTGAATAATAACCGCAGCAGCCAAGTAGCCAACGTCTAATACTCTCGTAGAAATCCAACGACAAACATCACTGCTTACAAGCGGCAAGAAAGATTCCCACTCTTCATTTGCACTTGCCCAGACATTAACCAAATCCGTGAAAGGGATAATCAAGTTCGGGCAAACAGAACCATGATCGTCGTCACAGTTCCTACAACAGCAAACACTTATATACCCAAGAATATTATCCAATAAAGACTTGGCCTCCTTCATTGCTTTCTTCTCTCTCTTAACACTTAATTCCCCAGCAAATAATTTCAGGATCACCCTGTGTACCTCAAATACGACTGGAACCAACAATGAGATGCATTTTGAGGCACCAGACGAAGCCGAACATGCAGACAATAGCTGAAATAAGTCTTTTGCAATTAATATTCGATCCAAGGCATCACCTTCAGCAAAATCACGGCAACGAAAGCTAAGCGAAGCATAGACCCAGATCGCCTCAAAGGGTGCGTCAGCCTTAGCTTGCACTAACTGATAAAATATATCAACATAGAGAGATAAATTCGGGGCTTCTCGGCGAATTTCAGCTAAAAGGTCTTGGATTGATCGTTTCAGCTTGAGATCGTAGTTTGCTCCCACTAAAGGGACAGCATTAGATAAATTTATGAATTCTGTAGACTCCAACAGACCCGAAGCCATGCCGATCAACGATGGAAAACGATTCCGGTCCAGCTAGAGTGGCAGCCCCGCTCCGCCTACGATAGCTGACGGGGCGAGACTTTAGGGTTTAGCTCAACAGAGGTTTTAATCGCATCGTTTTCTGATTAAAAAACGACAACCTGGAATATCGCGTATTGAGTTTAAACGACGATGCGCTGCATTACTTAGTATTTTTTTATGGAAGTTGCGAATCTAATATTAAACGGCGCTACGTGTTTTCTTGCACCTTATTGGTTGAAACAGAGGGGCCCATCTTTTTAAGCTCTTCTCAACCAATCAGATTGCTGGAAATGTGAGTGTAAACGAAAACCCTATAAATTAATTATTATTATTATTGTTAATTATTAATTAATCAATCAGATTACGCTCTTCTCTGTTTTTAAAGTGAAAGTTCATCTCTTAAATTGAATGATCTCCGAGGAATTGTTTCTCTATGAGTTAACTACTATTCGGATTCAAACGATTTCAGAGGAAGATGAAGACATTACTTTATGTCGTGGTTGTATCACTCTTTATTTCAGCATGGGTGCCGCCAGCATGCTGCTCCAAGAAACCAGCAGGAAAAGCTAGGAGGGAAGACATCCCGTACATCAGATGCCAAGTCTGTGAAAAGCTTGCTAAGCAGTTGTATCATCAGGTTCAGAAAAAGCAAGCGGAGATCGCTCCGAAAAAGGTGCGTGTATATTTTTGTGGATTTCCTTTAAATCGTTTCGTTAGGTCCTGTTGAGGACTAGAAAGGTGGGCTTTAATAGTTTCTGCAAAGTAACTGGTTGATTTGGGATGCTAGATATCTGAGTTCCAGATCATTGAGATAGCTGAGAATATCTGCAATCTCAAAAAAGCGGAAGCTGATTGGATATTGCAGATAGATATTGTAGAAAATGAAGATAAATTGGAGGTACGAAGATTGGTGAACTTCACAGTTTTGTAAACGTTTTACAGAATTATTTTATAAGTTCTGCTGTCCATGCTTCTCTTTATTTTTCTTGTCTATCTTTATGGATTTTTGTTGTTTCTTTGGTATTCGGATGGAGTAACAGTTAAATGTGAGAAGAGCTTGTTGCATTGACTTAGTATTGATACAATAAATCATTTTATCCGACCTTTTTTCTTGTCAGCTGGTGGAACAAGACTCTGAAGGACAATGTAATTCTGAATGCAAGACAATAGAGCAGGCTTGTCAGGAGGTATGGCACTGTTCCTACCTTATACTCGATGTTTTCGTTTGTTGCCCGTGAAATAGATCTTCTCGTAGATTCTAAAATGTAAACATTTTATTGGGAGACAATGAGCGACGCAGAGTCTTATTTAACGTATGATTTTTTAATATCTTTTATCGATGAAGAATTCAATGGTGACACATGACCAATCACCGATTGTTATAATCTGGATTCTGTTCCCTCTGCTGCTTCTATCTACTCCTGCATATGTAATATAACAACCTTACGGCACTCAATGAATCTTGGTTCAGGGATATTTTACGAGGACTTGATAACTTGGAATTTGCAGGTAATAGGATATTCTGATACAGATGTTGCTGAATATCTATACAAATCCAAGCTTGACGTTGACTTATTGCTCAAATATTTCTGTAAAGACCTTACTAAGGCATGCAGCACCAAACCACCCCCTGTACCTAAGGTAACTTCATTCTGAAGCTGATACTTCCACTATATGTTTATAACCTATAACCATCATGTAACTTTTCTTATTCTTTATTGTTGAAATATTTTAGTTGATATTGATGGATAGCTTTCATGGGTTGATAAGCCCCTCTGATCGTGGTCTGAATTAATTTGAGTATCTTCAGTATTATTGAGTCTGTTTGCTGCTGCTTTATGGTAACCAGCAACCGTGCTGGTCTTTTGCTTTATATAATTAGTAATTGTTCAGAATGAGAATAGGTGATGGTGTTCTAAGTACTCCATCTTAGCACGGTAAAGGATAAGTCATTCTAATTACTTCTGATAGTAAAACATTTTGCCAGTTTAATACATCCATTTCTTCATTGTCTTTCAAATTTTCAATAACATTGCTAGAATCCATCAATCCCCAAAACCTTGATTATTGACTAAATAAATTAAGGCCTAACTTTTTTATTGGCTCTGGAGCAAACAATAATTTACCGAATTGGCTTACTCCAGAAATTCCTAGTGTTCTTTTCTTTTTCTTACAATTTGATATGTTCATATATCTATACATTTGGAGTCCCTGATGTAACTTAGCAAGGTCTTGATGCAATGACATTCAAACTTAGTTTGTGCTTAACATTACTGTTTTAGTACTCATCAGAAGATCTTTTTTGTATTGCAGGACAGGGCTCCTGGAGAACCTTTTGTTCCAAAGTCAGCTAAAGAGGCTGAAATGGACAGGCTTTTGAAATCTATGGAGGTAGTTAGCTTCTTTCTCTTCTATTTTTATCTTACGAGGGAAAGATTAATTAACATGAGCAAAACCTAAGAACCACATTAAACTTCTCACCACCTGAATCACAGCCTAGGTGGGGGGATTCATCCTTACAAATATATAATACTTGCTGCAGTCTTTTATTGGTTACATTTGCGCTTATACTGTATTTAATTCTGCATCAGGGGATGCCCGGAGCCCCTGGCATGAAAATGTACTCCAGGGAGGATTTGATGAACATGAAGAATTTTGGTGAAGATGGTGTTGATGAAGATGAGGATGATGATGATGATGATGATGATGATGAGGCTGGCTTCCCTTCAAAATTGGTATTCAAGAGAATCTCATATATTCCCAAGTGGATTCAAGTCCTTTTAGAATAACTGAACAATGATGAAAATCCTCTTCCTGCAGGGAAAAGTTTTAAGGGAAAAAGAAAGCGGAAGTGACTGGAAACAGAAGCTAAGGAAAGGTATTTCAGACAGTGCTATGACACTGAAGAGACATGCCGACAGAGTCTCCAATCATTTACGTCAATGGTGGAGGGGAAAGAAGGCAGGAACTTCAAAAAAGGGACAGAAGACAGGAAAGTCAGAACTTTAGAGCATCAAAATTTCACACTGCATCACTTGATTGCTGAATTTCTTCAATCGTTTCTTGATTGAAGGTCCCTCTGCCCAAGCTTGGCAGGAAGAAGAATTATAAGGGAAGGGATTTAATTCTACGAGATTTACACACCTAATCAGGGATTTGCGACCTTCATGTACTTTTGTGTGACAAGGTTGTCCGTTAAGAATTTAAGATGGTTTGTCTGCCACTTCACCTCTCCCAAATTGGGTATAAACACTTGCAATACGTCCGATGTGTTTTTCATTTTCGGAATAGTAACACTTTTTTCTAAAATTTCCTTCATACGGTGCTTGCAACAAGGAGATTATACGTCCTCCCTTAAAAATTTACGGTTATTGCACTATATACCTATCGTTAGCTGGATAGTGGATAGGATCGTTATCGCCTGCTTAGGAGGGTTCATAACGTGAAAAATCGAACCATGAAACCCAAGAGCTTGAAGTTTCTATTTCATCTGGAAATTCCAGGCTAAAGACAGCAGAAATGAGTTAGGCTTTTGAATGGTTAAGAGGCAAACCTTACTAAAAGTGGGGGAAATAATAGAATGATAAAAAAATTCATCATTACATTCAGAAGCATTCGTGAGAAACTAAGAATAAACTCCAGCAAAATTGAAAACAAGTCACAGGACTTACAACAGCTTCCTCTAGAACTGGTTATAAGGGAAGCAATTGTATTCAACACTCCGCCAGCCCACTAATATCCCTGGTTTATCGGGATTGCATTAGGAGAATATCAATAACTAAAAAAACAGGCTCAGCGCATCTTGTAACACTGAACTCTTGAAACCACGCATCGTCGACCATTTAATGAATACTTGAGCATTATGTCCACATCTCGAGGGTTTTTGTTATTTTGTGCCACGGTCATGCTCCCTGCTATGGCCTCTCCCTCACATATGGTCAAAACATCTTCTAGGTAAAGCACTGTTTGCTTCCAATGAGTCGCACGGGACCTTGGCCCTGCATAAGTAAATCCATAGCACATGTGAACGAATTATCAACATGATTGGCCTATCCTCAAACTCAAAAGAAAGTAAATCTAACTAATCAAAATTAAATTATATGTGCTCGCTAATTCTCAAAACATGAAATAAAACCAATCGAGCCCAAAAGTTTTCAGTAAATTTTCTTAGAAGGGGCATGTTTCAGAAGAGAATGATTTTATACAGTCTAGTTCATAGCAACTTCAAAAAACAGCGAATAACTTTTTTCTGGATTCGCTTTTTCTTCTTTCTCCCATTGTTATCTTCTGGTGACAGCCAAACCTTCGTTATAACTTGGAAACTAGGATCGAATGAATTACAACAAAATATTTACACCAATGGACGAGCACACGTCATAACGTTGTTCTCTCCATTCAAGTCCCCCCAACCAAAAGAACAAAACCAAAAAAATAAATCAAGAGGAGATAGCAGAAGAAGAAACAAACCTGTAGAGAAGCCCATCAATTTATGACACCTGGTAAATGATACGTCAAAATATGCCACAAGAGCATGAATATAATCATCACGTTCAGCTACAAGCTTAAAAGGTGCTGTGAAGGACGCATCTCCAGGTACCATTTTAGAGATATCCATTGTCTGAACAAAGTCGAGCAAATCAGTTACGTCACTTGAAGAAAACAGGAAATTCTTGGATCAACTCGGGATATAAAACGCATGCTAACTTTAAGCATTCAAGGGATACTAAATTTAAGAAAATTCAAATAATCTATAATCGCACACCTTGAGTAGCTGGCAATTTGTAACAATCTGATTTTTGTCAACTGTGTCAACAAGAGGCTCCATAATTGCTTGCTTCTTAATGCAGTTCATGTCAAAACCATATACGTTATTCCAAACTGCCATAGAAAGAGAAAGTGCAATGTAATTTAAAGGAACACAAGTTAATCAAGGGATATAATTCCATAGCGAAATTCATCATATTATACTAGGGATTTGAAGTTTATAAGCATCAACCAAAACAGCAATGGACATCAATTTATTAGTCCCAGACGTGGGAAAAATGTTGTCATTTCCATTGCAAACATAATTCTAGAAAATGTCTATATTAATTTAAAAAAAAAATCATATACTTCAATATAGCAAGAGGCAAGTAATAAGCCACTCGGACTAATCCTATGGTGATAGGTTCAACCCTCCGAGCCATCACGTATCTATAAAATCAAGAGGTAAACAACTCACACTCAATTTTATCTTCTTTGTAGTCCGCATCTTCAATTGCTGTAAGATAGAGAGACGCTTTATCTGGTAGCACAACTCCGTCATTCACCTAGGCCAAAACAAGAAAAAACAGATTATCAAAATAATCCCTACAATTTACACCCTTATCAAGTAATTGAAGTCTATTCTCCCTATCTAAACCAGCGTTCAAATATTCTTGAAATGTTATCGTATGTTGCAATAGAAGGAAGTAAATGAATATCAACATGACATGTCAAGTGATGCAAATCAACATATCTCGGCAACTGCTAAAGCCTGCACAACTTAATTTGTATAATATTCCAAAAGGATCAATGGTGGCCACCACATGTTCTCTAGTTGAAAGAGTTTTTAAAAAGAGCGTGTGAGATATGTCATACAACCAGAATGTTAAGCATCACAACTCATTTCAAACAATACATTGATTATGCCTAATGAAGAAATATAAAATTGATAAAAGACAGGAACTAAGCAAGGGCAGAAAATCACATCATTTCAGTTGGAATGCCACAGTTCAGAGCTACACACATATTTCGGAATGCTAGAGTTGAGTAGAATCAGATTAATATTTTACAACCTAACAAAAAAAGGGTATAACTATTAGAAGCGGCGACCAAGAGTCCAAGACCAATTCATTCTTGTATAAGCAATAAATGATCAAATAAATGCCAACTAGTGAAAAGATTGTATGACTTACTAGCCACTTGTCACGTGCATAGAGGACAGTATTCAGCATATTCTCAAACAACAAGAAGTATCCCATCCATTCTGAAATGATGATGTCAACTTTAGCAACAGGAAGTTCTATTTCTTCAACCTTTCCCTTCAAAACTGTTATAACTGTAAAAGCAAAACAAAATTACAGTCAATGACACTGGAAATTAAATTACCTGCAAAAAGGAAATAAACGGGTACAAAATAAAATGGCATCACCATTAGAGTACCCATTAGTTTCAACTATCTCCTTCGCCATGTCAGCCATGTCAGAGCACTCAACCTGAGTATCCAAAGTTATAAACACTGTAATTTAAAATCCAGTAGGATAATATTATAAACATACAATCCACAAAAAGTTTTGTGATTTAGAACACTGAAAGGAAGTAAGCAATATAGACACATACTGCATAGACATGTTCTGCCCCAGCTTTGGCACAAAAGAGAGATAAAATACCGGTTCCAGCACCCACATCAAGAACTACTTTATTTTTGAATAAAAACTTATTCTGATAAATCACATTTTGGTAAGTCTTAGTTCTCACTGTATCCTTCAACATTTCCTGCATGTAAAGTAGGTTAGAGAATAAAGTAAACACAGTGCTAGGCTACTGAGGTTTTTGGGAAATTAACCATGGCACAGTTAAACAACCAGCCCATTGAAGAAGCATGAGCATATCAATTGCCAAGAGAAAAGCGAGACAACAATGAGAACAACGTAATATTTAAATTCAAAATATGAGCTTCAATTTACTCTATCACGCAGAAAAATTTACTGGGTCATACATCAGAGCATTGCTCTAGTACAGCCAGAAATACTCACTGGCAAAGAGTATAAGGGGCAAAAACTCTAGAACTCTATATTACATCCTCACTTAAGTTATGGACTGTCACACTGAAAATCTGTCCTATAGTCAACAACAACTACAACAACAAGCCTTATCCCACTAAGTGGGATCGGCTAGTCACAAAATTATAGATTTTGATATCTACCTATATAGAATATAAACAATTATTTTGCAGTCAGGATAATGCTCTAGGGCTTTGGTGCTTCAAGACACACCTAACTTTTAAAACAATTAAAAAAGATACAGAATAGAATGACCTAGGAAAGTGAGTATGGTTTTAACTTAAAATCAGATATTAACCGTTGGTAGTTGTGAAATATTACAGAAGACATGCGAAGGAAAACTAACAAAAATAATTAAAGTACTATTCTCTTTCTGCCCATTAGATAAACCCCAAAAGTAGAAAAGAAAACAAAAAATGGATTGAACAAGAATAGGTAACGCCAGCGTGCATCCAAGTTGATGGACTTACTTCGTGAATTCCTGAAAACACAAGAAGAAAATAGTTATTTAAAATATGTATACCAATTGAAGTAAGGTAGTCTGCTTATATTTCAACAAACAAAATTTAAGTGCTAGCAATTTGCTTATTATTCAGCTCTTCAATAGCCAGCGTAAAGTTAACGAGAAAATCAAAACTACGGCTAGGATTTATATACAGAGAGATATCTAAATGATATAATCTTCGACTACCACGACCAGATTGCCTACCCACCAGCTCTTTCTAGTTCCAATATCAGAACACAAGACACGTAATAAAGGGAAATTTTCGAATAAGAAATCACCAAAGTGAGAGTAGGAATCAAAGTAATAATCGGCACTTGTTTTATCATCTGAACCAATAAAGACCATGGAAGTCTCGCCAGCTGAGCCTTCAACGGCTTTGTCGACGGAACCATCGAGCTCGCAAATGGATACGTCGTGGCTGGAGCTCACAGCAGCATCCTCAATGATTTCGTCTGCATCTTCGAAGCGACTATGGTGATTCATTTTACTGATGCCGCCGCCGCTTGAGCTCCGACTGTTGCTCTCTCGGCGACTGATTCACGGAATAAATTCGCTAAACTAAATTAAAAAATGGGCGGCAACAAAAATTAGGGTTTTTAGTTCGGGGGGGTCCTCTACCGTTTTAGTTTCTGCGTTGCATGGACTAGGGCTGTATAAAAGTCTCCTAGTCTTGTTCGGTCCGATCCAACTATAAAAATTCGGTCTTATTCAATCTTATAAAATGTTGGTCCTGTAGGACTAAAAAGACAGGACTAATTTTTCGAGTAAGACCAGACTAGAGATCAAGCATCTGGACTAATTAGTCCGGTTTGGTCCTATATAATTATTTTAATATAATTAAAATTAATTTATAAATTATTAATTAATAAGCCTTGGAAAAAAAAAGTCTTAATCCTGCCTTGCACTTTGCACTCTGATCGAAAAAAAAACCTTAACATTGTTACTCAATAGCACTTAGCGTCTCAGCCACTCACTCGACTTTGCTCTCATTCTCAATTTCTTCAGTGCGCCAAAGCCCTAGCCCCTACCTTGCACTTTGCACTTTAATCTTGATCTGTTCGAACTTTGAAGGAACATGTTTGTGGGCTGATTTTTATTACTTCTATTCTTGCTGATTTTTTTTCCTTTGGTCTATTTTCGGTCTTTTCTCTAATTTTTTATTGAAGTTATGTATTTAAATCATTTGGAGTTTGGACTGTAACTAAAATATTATTTTCTTGGTGTTAGAAATTATTATGGATTTATTATGATTATAAGTGTTTTTATTATCTTAATTGAATTTGTTAAGTTGAAATGGATTATTGGTCATCATAAAGAAAAAAAAAGGCCACGTAAGTATTGGACTAACAGGACCAGTCTCCCAATTCTATAGACCAAGTCCGGTCTTGTTAATCTCCGGGTTTTTACAGAACCAGACCGGATTATGGGTTACCTAACCCAATCCTTTTCATGAAAAGGACCAGATTTCGGATTAGGCTAAAGTCCAGTCCCCTTCAATCTTTTGTGCAGCCCTAGCATGGACCCTCGACGAAACTAAATTATTTTAAATTGCTTTCACTCTTGCCCCCTTTTGGTCTCAGTGAAATTCTTTTTTTTAAATACCGTAAATAATAAAATCAACAAAATAAGTTGTACTCCCTTATGTTCTATTTATAAATTATTTTTACCAACCTCATCAATATTAATATAATGAAAGTATAAGAAATAAAAGAAAGTAAAATTTCAAACATAACTCTCAAGTAAAAAACAAAACGTAAGTCAATCATATAATATTATTTTTTCTGTTTTTTCTTCTTCTATTTTTTAAAGATAATTTAAAAATTTTAATTTAAAATAAAACAATCTTATCAATAAATAATTTATAAAATAAATTAAATTATACTTTTATAAAGTGATTTATATATTAGATCAGTGAGTATCTTTTAAAATTCATCAATGATGTAATTCGTTATCATATTTGTACACCGTGTGAATGCAAAGGACATCCTCATTTGGTCAGCGATAATCCTTCTTTGACCGGAATTTGTCGACAACAATGAGCGACACCAAATTTATATATATACTGTATAAAAATAACTTATTTACAAAAATATATAAAAATAATAGTAATTGTTTTTATAGAAAAAGGCCATAACGACCCAGAAACAAATACTAATCAAAACTACCACTTGGCCTAATGTCTGCAAGCACACTGGACAAGACATGTTCATCCACCTCCAACTTGAAGCTAAGGTTAGAGAGTTCATTTGCAGTCTATAAGGGTTCGAAGCTTTTTTTTTTGGTTTGTCCAAAATATTCCCACAGCCAATAACAATTAGACTAATCTCTCAAAAAATCTAAACATCATTTAAGGCATTGTTCTTTTTCAAATAATGTTTTTTTATATACATCTTCAAAAGTCAAACTCTAGAATGATACTTAAAGGGCCCAAACCGTTACCATTTGTGCCACATTCACTTGGTAGGTTTTGTAGTTGAATTCATATTAATATATAAAAAATTTTAAAGAAAAAACTATTTTTAATGAGGTCCCACAATACTTGAATATACCATGTTTAAATAGTTGTATAAATTAATATATATGTCTCTGTCCTCCCTACATTCTTGGGGCAAGCAGGGTAGACAGGCCTAGATAATTAACTGATCAAGTTCATTGAATTTTGGGTCACATAGAAATTTACTCAAATTTGTGGCCTAATTCACATAATCATGTGCACATCAAGCATTGTTAGGCTCAGATATTTGAAACTCAACATTCTCCAAAAGCAGGTACCCTTACAAGTCTACTCTTTTAGTTTTAATTATAAGTCACTTCTAATATATTCTATTGAAATTAAGAAAAAGTTTGAGTTTTATTAATTTTATCTTAAAATTTAATAAGTTTTTACCCATATTCCTAATAAGGACAAAAATATTAGTTTTAATAATTTTTCCCATCATTTAATAAGGGCAATAAAGTAAATATTGATATATAAAATAGTAAAGTGTCACAAATTTTCATGATAAGTTAATTTTTGAAGAGTATTAGCCTTCATTTGTATTGGTGTTATTGTCCTTTGCTATGAGTTCAGATCCACCTCAAATCTATTTTCACATATCCACGTGGTAGTTCTCGTAAATTGACATTTCAGACTTGTTAACCATTAGACCATGATGAAATTTGATCAACAAGCACGGAACATCCAATGTATCATTTTCAATGGTTAAATCATTGATTTGTTGCCTAGTGTGAAAGTTATTCTGTTCATACAATAGTCTCTAGTTTGGGTGTTTTTATCCTTCATTCTCTTTTATAAGCTTCTTTTCCTTAAAAATGGAACATTTAAAGGTTGCTTAATTTATCTCAATTCTTTGAATGACTGCAATTATTGTCTTTAGTTGGAAAATGTGATCTTGCTCTGTTTACTTTAGGATCTTCTTTGATTGAACTTGAAACTTTACTGCGCACACTCATCTCTAGTTCCTCTAACCCATCTGCGACCATATATACTCTCACTAAAGCCAATAATATAGGTTGGGTCTATGGACTTAACCCACCAACTCGTGAAAAAAGTTGTGAGTTGGGTTAAAGAATATGGGTTTAATTATATGCGGGGCAATTTTGGCCCACCCCGCATAACTTGAACTTGCAGCGAGCTAACCCACAGGTTGGCAGGTTGGCCTGTTTATGTTTTAAAAAAAAATAAATAAGATTAAGTTTAAAATAAAACATTCAAAGTAAGTATACATGGAATTGTGATCTAAGTACTTAATACTTTTACATTTATTTAATTTAAGTTTAAATTATGGCAAAAAATAGTAAAAACACACTGCGCATGTATTTAAATATTAATATAATATAATCTAAATGTGATTAAGACAATATTGAATAAAATATTTTATTATACTTTACTTCATTCATATAATAGCTTATTTAAATTATCTTATTTGCAAAATAGTGTTATCCAAGCTAGCAAATAAAAATTAAACATATTTATTAAAAAAATTTAGTTGCCCTTTTTATTTAAAAAATTAAATATATTTATGAAGTGCTAACCATATATTATGTCATCATCTTAATTTAAACATAAAAGAAAAAAAAGCAGATATAGAGATATTAGAATGTTTAGATTACATGAACTGAATGTATTATGAGTAGTAATCTAATAATCAGAGTTTAAATTATCATTATTTTATTTTTAAAAAAATAATTGATATTTTAAATTGGGACATTAATTTTGTAGCAAAAATTCCAAAACAGGATGAAGAGAAAAGGAATAGACAGAGTATTTCTATTAATTTATATATGTATAATGTTGATCAATCATGTAAAAGACTAGGAACGAAATGATCACAAATTTTATAATTTTTAGGGGGAAAATAATTTTTTTACCATGAAAAAAATAATAAAAAGAGGTAAATTTATAATTTTTTTAAATTTAAAAATTATAAAAAATACTTTTTTTTACTTGCGGGTTGGCCCGTTAACCCACCAACCATTACGAGTTGGCAAAATTCAACTGATGAAGAATACAGGCCATGTAAACCTGTTCTGCCAAACCCATAATCCGTTGCAGGCTAACCCACGAGTTGCATATTGACCTATATTATCAGCTCTAACTCTTACTGATAAATCCACTTGATATTTTCACTCTATTTGTTACAATCATATGATAAATCAAGAAAATTTCTTCTTCTTTATAACCCCTAACTCTATTGCTTATCCTATATATGCTACTGATAATTCTCAAATACATGTTAGTCATATTGGTACTATCTCCTTGCCTTTCGTATCCATTCATGATACATATTTGTCCTTTCCATTAGCCTCAATCTTCTTTTTGTTGGACAACTTGTTGATATAGGTTATGACATGTTATTTAATAAATGTGGTTGTGTTGTGATGAATTCTCAAACAAAACAGGTTATCGGGATTGGGTGTAAAGTTGGTTTTATGTTTGAACTCACCTCGATACACCTACCTAAGATCCCTGCTGCCACTTTGTATGCTGCCTCCACATCTTCTTCTCTTGATTACTCTATTGACTTATAGCATTGTTGTCTTGCTCACCCTTCTTTGAGTGAATTGCATCCTTTAATTTTTACTAGTCTTTTACATCACATTCATAATCAATTTTTGGCAATGCATTTCTTGTCAAATTTCCAAACAACTCGCTTCGTCATAAAAATGATACTATTGCATGTTTTTCATTTAATTTGATCAATTTTGATGTTTGGGGTCCTGCACCTACTCCCTCCATGGGAAGATCTCAATACTTTGTAATTTTTATAGACGACTTTTCTCATCTTACTTAGATTTATATGATAAAACATTAATCTAAGTTACTTGAACTTTATGTCAAATTTACTACTATGACTCACGCTTAGTATTTTAAAATCATCAAAAATTTTCATTTTGATAACGCTTCAAAATATCGTGACTTTAGATTATTCAACTTTCTTGATTCCCAGGGCCTTATTTCTCAGTATTCTTGTCCCTACACTTCTCAACAGAATGGTCGTGTTGAGCGTAAACATCGTCATATTCTTAATTTGTTAAAGCATTGCTCATTTCCTCTTCTTGTCCTGAGCAGTTTTAAGGTGAAGCAGCCTTAACCTTTATCTTTT